TATCTTCTGAGGCACGCCGTAGTGTCAAGAAGCTTCCATTGTGTGGTCCTGTCCACATCAAATGCTTTCTCGTAGTCAATGAAATGGATGCAGAGTGATGAATTCCATTGAATTGATTGTTCCACAATGATCCGTAATGTTGAGATTTGGTCTGTGCACGAATGATGCTTACGGAATCCTGCCTGTTGTTCTCGAAGTTGAGCGTCCTCGGAGTCCTCCATTCTGTTTAACAGTACCCAGTTGAAGACTTTTCCTGGTATTGAGAGAAGAGTGATGCCTCTGTAGTTCTCACACTTGCTGAGATCGCGTTTCTTTGGTATCTTGATCAGGTGTCCTTCTTTCCAGTCTGTTGATACTTGTTCTTCATCTCAGATCTTGCTGAATTGGGTTGGTATTCACTGGTTTATAAACTTATTTAATATAGTGATCAATTTTATTTATCGTGACAATACAACTCAACTTTTTAACTGGACCTTTTAATTCAGTAGGTCGTACAACAAAATGTATTTCGTTTTCCCAAGTTGTGATTCTTCTACCTTCTATTGTAGTCTCTATAGTGTCATTCCCACCGACATTACCGTCTCATGAAATGAGGCTAATACTAAAAACACTATACTTTCAGATTTCCGGTATCACTGAAAGGCTTGAAAACTGCGGAGCAAATATATTGTTCATTGTTCACAAAAACCATTATACTTGACCTAATTTCTTGTTATGACAAGTTTTTCAGTAATCATCCAGATGTTGCTAAATTAATGTCTTCGAATATAGATTCAAATGTCAATCTCAACCATTATTCAGCTTTCTGATGCATCTTATTTCAACGGTTAATGATTTTATGCTCTAGCACTACAACTGTGGTGAACGAAGACTTGGTGGAAATAACTAATTTATTGTTAAATGCAAAATTACGGTATGCCTTTGTTAAATATTACAACTATACATTAAATGCATCATTTACTCATCTTCCATCCATTGTCCCTTACACACTTCATGATTCTGTTGTTATTAGAATTATTTTCTGTTTACAATCCTGTTCTCTTCAACTCGATTTCCTAAGCCAGGCATTGCACTTCGGATTAGTGCTACATACTCCTTCTATCTGTCAACATAAGTAGCATACACCGCACTACTTCTATTCCCACCATGATCTCATCAGCACTTTTCTAGACTACTGATATTCTTCTAGCCAGTGGTTGAGATTACGTAAGTGATCACTCGTGTGTGTGTGTGTGTGTGTGTGTGTAAAATACATGGGTATCATTCAGTGTAGTTTACAATGTTTCACAACTCTTGCTCTATAAATAAGTTCTACGATTTTGCTTAGTATGGTATTTGAGTAACTATGGACATGATAATTTCTTTATTATCTATTTTCTTGCTTCTCTTTTTTTCTCCCTTGTGTAGATTCGTGAAAAGGTATGTAATGTGTAGATTACGTAGTAAAATTTGGATTTCATTAATTTAATGTTATTATGGTATTGTATATTAGTTATCAGTCAGTCAGTCAGCTGCAACGTAGGATCAGGCACGTATATGCATCGGTCCAAGTTGCCATACCACATTAGCACAACAAGATCAACACCGGATTCATAGAAGTAGTTAATTCAGTGGTGGTAATATATAGAAGAGTGTGTATAAGGAGATAGTACAGGAAGAAAGAATTAGTTCGTAGAAAGAAAGACTTGAAGTAATTTTAATCTCTTAGTTTAAAGGAAGACAGAGAGAGTATACACCGAAGCCATTGTGATCGATTCTGAGCCATGTCACCAAGAGTCTCCAACCATTGGTTACGATAGTCACGCGGACCCCAACCAGGTAGTCTGAATCTACCAACATGGCTCAGACCAGAAGTTAGTGACTTCAAGCACTGATGCCACGTTTTGGTTTGGCCGCCCCTAACTTTCTTCCAATTATCCCCTGCACTAGTCAGCATTGCGCGTCGTGGTAATCGGTGTTCAGGCATACGCAGCACGTGGCCCAACCATCTCAGTCGATGAAGGTTCATAACCTCATCAACTGATTTACCATCATTCCCTAATACCCTGCGTCTAACCTCACTATTACTTACCAGGTGATCCCAGCAGATACCCGCAATATTTCTAAGGTATCTGTGGTCAAATACTAGTAACTTACGAATATCTTCTACTCTTAAAGGCCAAGTTTCGCAGCCGTATAGTAGAACGGAACGAACTGCCGCGCAATATACTCGTCCCTTAATTGATAGACGGATATCTTGCCTTCGCCATAGATGACGTAAGTTGGCAAAGGCCAAACGAGCTTTTCGAATCCGTGCTGAGATTTCGTTTTCTCAAGTTCTCCGTATTTAATTACTTACATTGGCACCGAATATATATACGCCATATAAATCACTTGATTTATCTGCGGGCTGTGATACTATCCGGATGCCTAGATCGAAGTAGATGGTTTTCGTAGGGGGTCACGTCTGTACAACCGGTGTTAGAGATTATTGGAAGAAAGTTAGGGGCGGCCAAACCAAAACTTCTCTTCTGAGCCATGTTGGTAGATGCAGACTGCCTGGTTGGGGTCCGCGAGACTGTCGTAACCAATGCTTGGAGACTCTTGGTGACATTGCTCAGAATAGATCACAATGGCTTCGGTGTATACTCTCTCTGTCTTCCTTTAAACTAAGAGATTAAAATTACTTCAAGTCTTTCTTTCTACGAACTAATTCTTTCTTCCTGTACTATCTCCTTATACACACTCTTCTATATATTACCACCACTGAATTAACTACTTCTATGAATCCGGTGTTGATCTTGTTGTGCTAATGTGGTATGGCAACTTGGACCGATGCATATACGTGCCTGATCCTACGTTGCAGCTGAATGACTGGCTGACTCACCTCTGTAATCTTCGAACTAACAGTCTGATTACAAGGCAATGGAGGGTGATCAACGATTGGTTCATACATCATTTGTTCCTTCAGGATACTGGATCCCATATACAGCAATGGTTTGAAATCAGTGTTTGCCAACTCCCTTAGGTGAACTCTCCGTGTTCACCAACCCTAATAAAGCGCCCGACATTCGATTTTCGGCCTCTCAATTTCGTAAACAACAATTCTGCCTTCAGAGGGCAGTGAATAGGGCATCCCTGACAGTGGCTGTATACGCGTAGCCATGTGAGAGCATTTCGAGGGGGTGAGATGACTCTCCCCACCCTGTGTCATACCAGGGCATTTGGGGGCAAGTTCTCTCACCACATTACCACAAATTTAGAGAGCTCAGTCGACTTTCTCTTATTCACTTCATTTGTGATGTTGGTGAATTAACTTTACGCCAACTAATGGCGTGTTTGTTATGTAGCAGTTTTTTTCCGTTCTACTCTATAGCTGTAAAATGTGGTCTTTAAAAATGGGAGATATTCGTAGGTTACTGGAATTAGATCATAGGTACCTTCGAACAATTGCTCGTGTATTTTGAGGATATAGAGTCAGCAATTCTGAAATTAGACACAGAGTACTAGTTACGCATTACAAGTTTATTGATGAGGTACTGAATTACTATCGTGAGTGAGATGTTTGGATCATGTATTATTTATTTCCATTCAACCACCTCGACGCGTTATGATTGGTGGTGTTATAGTGAGTAGATTGGAAGAAAGCTATGGATGGCTAGACCAAGATAGGGGATTAGTCCATGAAGACGCTAATCATTGGATATAGATAGGTCTCAATTACGTATTTGGAGCTTACGAAATGATCTTAATTATTAGTTTGAGACTTTGAGTAACCTATTGGACAAGGTCACTGTGAACTGGTGCCACATTTTGGTGTAGTGATTCTTTGGCGAGACTATCATTTATGGACGAACCAATAAGATCTACGATAACAGGTCTGAGATTTTGGCGCGGAATTCATTCACCCATTCGGCTAAATAGAGTTTTGGCATTGTAGCTGACGTCAGTTCGTGATGAAAACCCTAAATCTAATTCCTAACCCCAACCATCAACTGTAAATCTTAATCCTTATTCCTTAAACTGCTTTATAACCCTCATTTAACCCTAATAAGTAGGTAGACACTCTCAAGGTCACTTTAACGTCACTCAAAGGTCGTCCATAAATTATAGTCTCACCGATTCGTTGCTTTCTTTTAACATATTCCTATTATTTCTTGAAATCGGTAGTAGCTATTGCTAGGTAACACAAAGTCTGTCACTGTAGTCCATAAAGAATATACCAAATGAAATTTAGGAAATAAATTGATTATTAAGTAGATAGTCCCAAGTACGACATTTAATCATTGGTTAAGAAAACAATTGTTTCCTCTTAACTTGAAACTTTTCAGTAGTTCATATTCATGATCTGATTGACGAATAAGTTGTAGAGGAATTTCCTATATTTCCAGTTTCAAACCATTTCATGGTAGTAAAAGACTATTATCTCTTTTGTATTGACTGCATTTTTCCACAGCTTCTTATTCTGACTTTTAGAATTCGTCTCAAAATTAGTCAGTCATTAAATAAACATATGATTATTGTCATAAGTCTATTGTTATGGACTCAACCAACGTATAAAGATTCGTGTACTTATCTTTAAGCTATCAATTAAGCATAATAACTAATCTTACTGCTTAGTTACGTAAACGGAAATAGATGAAGCCATCTATTCAAACGTGTTACTTAGTAGCTGAAAGTCTAACTCTTTAACCAACTAAACCACCACTCGAACTACTTTTAGGAATAAAGGTCTTTGGAGCGAAATGAAATAATTTGATTAAATAAGTTGTTGATTTTTCCTTGAGTTACATGAAATCAGTTCAAGTTGTAAATTACAAATGTTTCATGTTGCGTTTTATTACTTTCTAAAACTTTGATTTCACCGATGATTTCTTTTTATTGATTGTTTATTTGTTGTTCATCATTTCGCTGTTGATTATCAAAAAGGCTGAATTTCAAGCTATTTGTTACAATTCACCAAATAATAATGATACAAATGATAAATGTATAACAAATGAGGATACAGCTTTAATCTCATCATTGAATACATCATTCACAAGTAGTAATACATCTACTGACAATGCATCAAATACTGTAAACGAATTGAATTCTACACCTGATAACAACAATTCAATCCGTTCAGAAAAGTAAGTTTGTTTGTTTTTTTTCTGTGACAGGGATTTGTTTAATTCTTATCGATTGAGTTTACTTTATCAACTAACTCCATAGAGAGAAAGAGAGAGAGATGGTAAATCACAAGAGTTAATTGAAGTTAGAAATCTGTACCATTGAAGATGATCATGTTTTGGTCTCTAATGAGATTATAGATTATTACTATGTTTTCTGTTCGATTATCTCCAAATGCCCTGGTACAGCCGAGAGTGGGGAGAATCTGCTCTCCCTCTCGAAGTGCTCTCACATGGCCACGTGTATATAGCCTCTGCCAGGGAAGTCCTACTCACTGCCTTCTCGTGGCGGGGGTGTTGTTTACGAAAATGAGAGGACGAAAAGCGAATGTCTGGCGCTTTAACCGGACCCCAAACCAATGGTGCACATGGGCTGGCTCCAGTATCCTGAAGGAACAAATGGCGTATGAACCAATCGTTGGTCACCGGCTACCATGGGACTGCATTTCCTCACGATGCTCCACTGCCTTGTGGATCAGACCTTCAGGTCGAAGGCTCTGGGTATGGCCGCCTAAGAAAAACACTTGCTTCGGTTTGGGCATCCGGGCAGTATCACAGCCCTCACACATATATATTTTACACTTATTGTTAGGTATCCAGCAATTTACATACTTAACCATAAATCGTTCATAGATTAAATAATGTGATTTTGTTTACAAAACTTTTTGTCTATTTATTTATTTTAGTGCTTCTATTAAAGAATTAAGTTCTAATTGTATTACACCAATTACTACTACTTCTGCATTACAAGTGACCACTACAAATTCCTCTTCTAGTTCCCTTATTCATTCTGCACAATTCCCAGGTCGACGACATCAACAAACTGATCAACGGTTACGTGTATCTATCACAAATTCTCCACAATTCCCTAATACAATAATCTCTAATAACACTGTAAGTTCTTTTCTGTAAATCGTTTTATCAAAGAATTGTTTTTCAATCAGTTGACTGGTAATATTCATATTTAGTTTGATGTGTGGTAAGATCATCCAATCTTATTTACTTACTTACTTACGCCTGTTACTCCCAATGGAGCATAGGCCGCCGACCAGAATTTTCCAACCCACTCAGTGATTTATCGACCGGACCAATTACACATAAACCTGTACGAGAGGAACGTGCCCATTAAGGGTAGAGGATACGCGTAAGCTACTACTATTTGGTCACATATGTCTTAAAAAAATTGCCAGCATCTGCTGGGGTTTACGGGTAAGTAATAGCGAGGTTAGACGGAGGCTATTAGGAAACGATCAGTTATGACTCTTCATCGACTGAGATGGTTAGGCCACGTGTTACGTCTACCATTGAAGTAACTACTTCTATGAATCCTGTGTTCATTTTGTTGTGCTAATGAGGTGTGGCAACTTGAACCGATGCATGTATTTGCGTGGTCCTACGTTGTAGCTGACTGACTGACACCAGTTTAGCATACGTTGACACTTAATTATTGAGTAATGTTTGAAAATATTTTTTGTTTTTATTATGATTAGGTAACATCTGGATTTCCGGCCACTACTACTATTAGTAGTGGTAGTAATAGTAATTACCCGTCATCCCTAGATACTGTACATACACAGTTTTTTGCTTGGTCTTGTCGGTGGTTTACTCGTCCACTTTTATCTAAATATGGGCAATTGAAAAATGGACAATCAAAAAGTCAAACTACCTCAAAAAGCTCCTTCGGTAACTATTTGACATTATTCTTTATTTTTTTTGCATATGAATTTCGATTTCATCACTCGTTGTTGATGTGAGCTGATCAGTTTCTGTTAGATAACGACAGCAAATCAGCTGGTGTTGTTGGGAAGTTTTGTCGATTAAGCTACTATTGATGACAGGGGAATTTATTACACATGCCTAGACACTACATCCTTTAACATGTGATGTTGGATGATGTAAGTATAAGGTCATGAAGTCATTGACTGTTGTATGTATCTATATTAGTATGTATAGAACACTAGGTTGAAGTGTACTCAATCGATATATACAATGGGTGATTTGGAACAGTGTCCGTCCATTCTTGCTTTTTTTCTAAGTCCTGAATGGTAACCTGACCGTTGTTGCTACCTTGACGTGGTGGTCGGGCTTGCCTATCGTGATGAAGCAACTGAGCTATACTGGCTGGAACAACCGTTCCTCAAGGTCCTACCATGCCAGACAGGTCGGTTGAAGAGCGGTAAGACTAAAAGCAACAAAACCAAGGTCCGAAGGCGAAGTCGTACTGCTGACTGTACAGAGATGTGAGAGCAGTAAGGTGTTTCCTTCAGACAACCAGCATGACAGCGATGCTGCCTTCCCACAAGGAGGGGTGGGGTTAGAAAAGGTCGACCCTAAAAATGCACACCTCGCCTTATCCCACGGATATCCGTCTCCGGCGGTAAGGACTCAACAAGTACGGAGCTAACACAAAAATCACTCATAAAAAGGTCGTGTGTGACCGACCTCAAGCAGCTGTCCCTTGGGCTCTGCGGTCACGCTCTCAGGTCACTATGACCAACTCTAATCCAATTTCCTTTTCAGGTACCTCCAGAAGAACCCTTCCACGGTGTGGGCAACCGGGAAGTGATAACCGCCCTCATACCTCTAACAGCACTCAAGACCACTGTATTCCTATTCCTGAATGGTAAGATTACCTTTCAGACGTTACTTCAAAAACACATTCCGTCTTCAACTGTTTTATGTAAGGCTGATATTTCTTTCTACTACTGTTATGTTGACTACTTCCACAACTCTTACATTTGTTTTCATTTTATCATCTGGTTTTACTTATATTTTTGGACAATTCGAAGCGATACACTCACATCACCTAAGACTTGATGATTGGTAAATATTTGGTGGCATACTATGGATGTTATTATGAATATGATTTCCCTTTTATTGGCAAAGCTCATTGATCCGATTTACCTACATACACTTGGAATCGAACTCAACACTCATCGTTCTAAACTCAACTACAAACCACCGACCGCTTTACAATACACAACCAGTTCATTATATTTTGATTTTTGATGGCTTGAATTATGTTTCATTCTTTTTTATCGTGAATGTGAACACTATGACGGTGAATAATCTATTTGATAAGCACTTGCAAACCATTTCTCTGCAACCTGACGCCATATTCGTGATCAAGTTTCAAATGTGTTAGATATCATGAACCAAATTCTGTCTCAGTTTCATATTTACACTCATCGTCTCTCTCTCTCTCTATTCTGCTACATATATTGAGTGTCTTATCCATTTGTTCCGACTTGAGTCGTGTAGGCTTGATTCTCATTTACACCCAGTGCTTTTATCCTTCATGAGGAGATAAATGTTAGTGATTGTCACTTCTCATTTACTCATATCTTGTAAAGGTACTTCTTGGGGTACCTGAATAGCGAACTTGATTAATAGTAGGGGATAAGTTTGTTTGTCCAAAGAGTGCATCCACTCTTTGTGTTCTCCCAGCTTCTAATCTTCTGAATTCTTGATGTACCTTTCCTTTTTATCTTTCCAAATTTATTTCACTGGATTATACTCCTTGAATGACATCTTCAAATCAAATCTTTCCGATTACTGCTTATACTCTTACTACCTCTATCACTACGGGATTCGAATCGACAACTGTGCTAATGTAATATAGTAACTCGAACTGATGTACGTACCTACGAAGTTCTACGTTGTTACTGACTGACTGACTATTTGTTCAAAGGACAAGTGGTACAGGCTGTTGAGAAAATGATCTTAATATGAATAGTTCTTGATAAGTTAACTCCTTACATTTAAGTTCTTTCTACAGACGAGAGCAATTCGTGAGATAAGATGAATTCTGTTACCTCCATGGTCGTACTTTTCTAACCTTTTCCTTCCATTGTAGGAAGCCAACATCTTTGTATGAGTTGATTGTCTGAAATTAGCAGCTTATTAATGTTACACCTCGGATCTCACCTTGGTACTTTTAGTTTCATCGCTTTTCAATTGATCTACTTGCGACAGAAAAATTTAAGAAAGTGAGTATTCCAGACAATATTTCTTGGTTGTCCCATCATGATAGGGAAATCCTACCACTAGTTCAATTTGTTAGCCCACGGTCAATTGTCTTGATATTATTGTTTTTGTATTAGTGTTGATATGACATTACTTATTGTTAGTAGTATGACTATTACCTTTCGCTGTACTACTAACTAGCTTTTGTTATTGTTGTAACAATTATCCACAGATTATGAACCAGTCTCATTGGGTACAATCTCTATTGATCCAAAAGCAGTCGCTTATACAGATCGTGTGAATCGTTTAAAAAAACAACGAAAAATATCTCATCTAGGACGTTTACAATGGGAACGTGTTGCTGGACAAATTTCACATCCAATAGTTACATCTTCTTCAAATACTAACACTACAACAACTACAATCAGTCGAAAAATTTCATTTTGTAATCCAACATCTACTAATACTACTAATAATAATATTAGTAGTGTTGGTAGTAGTAACATGAGTAGAAGTCGTATTAGTCTTCGTAGCAATGACAGTGGTGATAATAATATAAATAATTCCTTAGATGATTATTGTTTACATCCTATAGCTTTTTATAATCATCATGGCAATAATAATAGTAATGATAATATTTGTTCTATATCAAGTCAAGTGAAATTTCATCCATATCAACCTCATTTAGTGATGATTAATTCAGAACGTAAAGGTCTTACAATACATTCAACCAAAAATCTAAAACTTTTACATTCAATTAATACATTCACTACAAAATCATCATTATTCCCTGATTTTCCTTCAACTATAGATGGGTAAGTTGAATTGAATATTGATGACTATGATTTATACTGATTTTTTTAGTTGATACGAACTATTGCAGTTGTACGATCAATGACAAAAGATATGCTCTACTCTACATTGGTGCAAAGAGGAACCAAATATATGTGTGCCACACAAATCATTCAATTTTTGTAAGGTTTGGAATACTGTCCGGGTGCCCAAACGCAAATAGGTGGTTTTCCTAGGTAGTCACGCTTGGAGCTTTTGACTTAGTGATCTAATCCACAAAGCAATGGAGCACCGTTAGGAGATCCGGTCTTATGGTAGCCTTTTTTATAGATAGGGTCGATTATCGACTCATTCCATGACTTTGGAACTGAGTTAGTTCCTTAACCAGAAAGTCACCACCATCAATTAAATTTCACATTAGAAGTGAATTTGTTTAAAAAAATGTTTTGTGGAACTCAAGGGTGTTTAGTTGTGTTGCAGACAGATAGATCGAAAGTTATATATATATATATATATATATATATATATATATATATATATGACTTGTAATGTTTCCTACTCTTTCTATTAAGTCATAAAATATGCTTTGCTCATCTGAGATCCACTCGGTGTTTTTTTAATTGGTAATTAGTCGAAATGTAAAATATGGTTAAGTGTTGTTGTGTGTAAAACCAATCGAATATGATAATTTTGACACGATAGAATCGCTTGCTACTTAGACGGTGAGTGAACAGTTCAGATGGTTTGCTCATCCATTCATTTAATTTCCGCAACTGAAGTGTTCTGTCCCAACGTGCTATGTAGTCATTTACTATTGACCTATATTCTATCTCTCTATGTTGTTAGGTGCAAACTGCTAGTCCTTCTACAGTTAACCAGCTGGTTAAACTGTGTAGAGCTTTCATTGTTGTTCAAGAAACGAGCACAAAGTAGCAGCCAAATGACTGTTATATCTTGTGATCCGCCTATTAGAGAGCAGTGTATTATCGATCCAAACAGTGGCGCATAAAATACGTGCGAGCAGTCTAGAGTCCTGATTGGTCCTGTTTCCCTGTCTAGTCCAGCCACTTGAGTCCAGAACACAAATCTCAGCCTCGGTGATATGAATCGTTATATTTCAAACATACTGAGTTTATATACCGATCAAACAGACCACAACGTATCAAAAAGATATGAAACAACATTTGTACAAGAATTAGCCAGATGTGGCTGTGAATGAGGGAGATAGCAATTAATAGATAGGGCATAACTGAAGAATGGTAAAACGTACAATAATAGTTCATAGGTCAAAATAAAACTCATAATAAGAGGGACATGGATATGAACAGATTAGTGACGTAACAATTATATGATAAAAATATACTCGTAATATCGGTTCATAAATGGATCCCAAGAATTACCATTCACTATTTTTATCGGGATACAACAATGACACATTATGTTTTCACTATATAATACCAGTCAACATGTGAATCAACATTTGAATCGATAACTGGATCTCTGTGCTAATGTGGTATGGCAACTCGAACTGATGTACTTACGTACGTACGAAGTTCCATGTTGTTTCTGACTGACTGACAACATGTGTAGTCACAAACATGAATTCGAGATCTCGGAACCTGGAAATTCTAAGAAATGCTTAAGCATTTTTAAAAACATGATCCGACATATCAGGTTTAATACAGAAACGTTTAGTTAATCACATAGTCAAAGATCAATCAACTTAACTACATAACAAGAATACAAAGACAAGTAAATTTACAAATTAAGCCAATTGCAAACAGGATTACCAGCATAAATTGATCCAGAGATTGAGAAATAACTGATAACCCACTTCTACATGAATTAGAATCTGAAAATATTGTTCAGAATGAAAATAAAAGCTTCTTAATTTGACTATTTTATTCAGAGAACCAAAAGAGGCGATCCATCTGAACTGTAAATTATTTTCGTCATATGTTTTACACCTACTATGCTTAATTGTTTTAGATATTCACGTGTTGGATACGTCACTGATATTGAATTTATAAATGCAGATGAAGAGGAAAGTTTGTTGCTAACTGCAACAGATGACGGTTACATTCGTATATGGCGTAATTATACACATCATCTTGGTCAAGATCCTGAAATCCTAACTGCTTGGTAAGGTTATTACGTTGAATATATATATATATATATATATATATATATATATATATATATATATATTTAGAACAATATATGTTAGCGAACATTAGTCTTTGCGTATATAGCCTCTACCAGGGAAGTCTTACTCACTGCCTTCTCGTGGCGGGCGTGTTGTTTACGAAATCCAGAGGACGAAAAGCAAATGTTCGACGCCCTAACCGGGTTCGTGGACACGGAGGGTCCTCCTAGGGGAGTTGGAAAACCCTGATTACAGACCAACGGTGCACATGGGCTCCAGTATCTTGAATGAACAAATGACATATGAACCAATCGTTGGTCACCGACTACCATAGGACTGCATCTCCTTACGATGTTTCACTGCCTTGTGGATCAGACCTTCAGGTCGAAGGCTCTGGGTATGGCCGCCTAAGAAAAACACTTGCTTCGGTTTGGGTGTCCGGGTAGTCTCACAACCTTCACACAAATCAAATGAGATTAGTGTGGTGCATATGTATTTGGTGCCTCCTCGTACCAGTATACATTTGTTCAAATACATAAATAAAAATAAGGCTTTGTTATAATATATAATAATATTTGTACAAAATGTCATTCGACTTGTATTTTCACTGACTTTCACGTCCAAGATCAACAATCTCGATTCATGTGGTAATAATATATCCTGGATCTTAATTGTCTTAAACGTTAGAAGTAATTTTGACTATAGAGACTTTTGAGTATAATGTATTGATTACTTTTGTAGTGATAATCACATTGCCATAACTTCCATTTATTTATAATGGATCTGCAAGAAATAATGCTATCTTTGTATCACTTCATTGCATCTGTCACTCCTAGTAGAGCATAGGCCGCTGACTAGGATTCTCCAGCTAGCTCTGTCAAGGACTCTTTTTTCCAGTCTTCCCCAAATCCTATTCAGTATTTCGATGTCTCCGTCTGATTACCAACACAACCTTGAACTCTTCTAGGGTCCCAAGCCTAAATAAAGGAGGAAGGTTGGGCATGGGATTAGCAACTCTATTCCGTGGAAAAGAACTTTTTTGTCATATTTCAATGGCTAGAAAATTTTATTTCTTATGTTTCGTTATTTAATGTTAACCATTTTTTCATAGTAAATAATTAACCGGCATTGATACCTATAAATTTCTGTGTTCTAAACTAAGTGGACTCTATGAAACTTGCATACTACGTTTGAGATAATGGTCATCTACCTATTAAAAACTTATTTCGAGAGTTTATTCTCGGAATTCTAGTGAGAATTCATTACTAATAGATTTTGATCATGGACGGAACTGAGGTAGTTACCGATTAATAGGATTAAATGATAGTTACACAATACTATAAATAAATTGATATTAGATTTGTGAACTATTGGATGTGAACTTGATGATTTGTCAGTTAAACACTTTCTATATGATCTGGAGATCCTGAATTCGATTCCCATTTTTTTGGGGGGGGGTTATAAATTCACGAACTGGCATTGATAACTTTTCGTTTAAAGTTTTGTAAAGTTTAGTTCAAATTGAATTGTAATATCATCTGTGCACAGTTTCATTGAATTAATGTTATAGAGAACAATATACACAACTTTTATGTGAATATAGAAAACACTTAAATGGTTATTCGGATTCATCTGTTTCCTTCAGTTGATGATATGCTTTTGATTTTTTTTTCATATTTTTCCCTTCTAATTTTGTCTCGGAGATAGATACTTACACTCAAGTAGGATATGGTTTTATAGGAGATTGAGTATAGAGAGTGTTTTAAGATGATAGTAACATATTCTTTTGACTATGTAGAGTGGAGATTTCGATATATATCAATATTGTTTTCACAATGAAAACTCTTATAAAATTACTTTTAAACTAAGTTCAGGAATGATCTACAATCAGAGAATTGGTGGATGGTTGATTTGCATAATAGTTGTAAAGAATGTTTTCATGATGATTAACATAGGTTTTAATAATCGATCATAAGGTACAGAAAGTCATTCGGTTTCGACAATTTTATATTGTATGTTTTCATGTGGTCCCTTCATTTCATTAACTTTTCTATAGTAATAATAAATTGAATCTTTTCTTTCATTACATAATTCAAAGGAATGGTATAACAGATTTATATCAAACTGATTATCCAGTTGGTGTTGTTGTTCATTGGAGTCAACAAGCAAATCAACTTATTGTATCCGGTGATACACGTATTATACGTATATGGGATTGTTTATGTGAATCAAAACTAAGAGATATTAATACAGGATCAGATACATCAGTTACATGTTTAACAAAAAGTATAGATAATCATTTATTGGCTGCTGGATTCAATGATGGTGGTATACGTGTTTGGGATATACGTGTACCATCTTTGAATCATATTAGTTGTAATAATATTAGTAGTAGTGGTAGTAATAATAGTTGTAGTAGCAATGATAAGTAAGTTAATTATATTTTAATTCTTTTGTTTTTTTTTACAAACAATAATTCTAAATCTTAAATCAGAGTTCAGCTCCTTAGATTGATAGATCTTATAGTAGTATATGTCATTGAAAGGTATAGTAAAAAAGGTGCAGTCAGTCAGTCAGCTGCAACGTAGGACCACGCACATATATGCATCGGTCCAAGTTGCCATACGGATTTAACACAACAAGATGAACACCGGATTCATAGAAGTAGTTAATTCAGTGGTGGTAATATATAGAAGAAAGATTGTGTATAAGGAGATAGTAAAGGAAGAAAGAATTAGTTCCTAGAAAGAAAGATATGAAGCGATTTTAGTCTCTTAGTTTAAGGGAAGACAGTGTATACACCAACGCTCAAAATCGTTTGCAATGGCGCAGGTGAATCCACTCTTTGTGTTCTCTCAAACTCTAATCTTCTGAATTCTTCATGTCCTTTATTTTCTTTCCAAATTTATTCCACTGGACTATACTCCTTAAATAACATCATCAAACCTTAATGTTCCCTATCTCTACTTATACTTTCAGTACCTCTACCACTATGGGATTTGAATCGATAACTGAATCTCTGTGCTAATGTGGTATGGCAACTCGAACTGATGTACGTACGTACGAAGTTCCACTTTGTTCCTGACTGACACCGATGCCATTGTGATCGATTGTGAGCCATGTCACCAAGAGTCTTCAAGCATTGGTTACGATAGTCACGCGGACCCCAACCAAGTAGTCTGCATCTACCAAGATGGCTCAGACCGGAAGTTAGTGTCTTCAAGCACTGATGCCACATTTTGGTTTGACCACCCTTAACTTTCTTCCAATAATCCCTAACACCGGTTAGCATTGCGCATCGTGGTAATCGATGTTCAGGCATACGCATAAAAAAGATGCATTAACTTTTTACAAGCTCTTTACTTGAATTTGAAAGAACTATGGTTGGAATCGATAACTTCGATTGGTATTCTTCAGAGTTGTTCACTTTTCCCGTTTCATTTAGTTTTGTCATAAACATTTTTTTCAAAAGATAACGATCTCATCGTCTGAGTTTTCAGGGTTTGATCTTCTAATTGGAGGTTCTTTTGCTTACTTCAATAATAATATTGTTCCATTTGGTGACAATTTTGTCGTCATTCTTTAATGCTATTATTCTCTATGCTCAAAGGTACCCACCGAAAACTCTCATCTACCTCAGACAGCAAATGAGAATTGCACGATATTATGTGATAATTGGTTTTAGACATTGATACCTTTGAACGTCTTCTCAGTGGTCTAGAGGTTAACCAGTCAGTTAATCAGTTCACTCGCAACATAGAACCTGATACGTATGTAAATCGGTTAACGTTGCCATACACCATTAGCGGAGTGATCGAGTCGTCTAGCTAAATCTCATAATATTACAGGATTGATGTCATCTTTCCGTCTTACCCACTAGTATCCTTCCAGACTACTGTAAGATCAGACACCATCTCTATTCTACATGGGAAGAGAGTTAACCGCCCGTACACAAAACCGAAGGTTTTGAGTTCGACTCTTAGACGAAAGGTCTTGTGTATCTACTCCATACTATTTAAACGAAATTGTCACATAGTTCATAATTTCAATGAAACTCAGCAACTCTGTACTGTTTTAATCGAATATTCTTCACTAACTGATAATGATTTCCTTGAATAATAATATTTTACTATTGAGATCATGAATCTACTGATGTTAGACCACCGTTGGAAACCTGGAAGCACTGGACGGCCGTTTCGAAAATATTTATCATATTTGGAAATGCAATTGTTATATGTTCTATAATTTCATTATCTCGTATTTTTATTCTTCTCTAGTCTTATTTTCAACAGTCAAGCTGATACTGCTAGAATTTTCAAAGTTGTCTTTTCATCAACTAATCGATTATATGCTGTTGGTGCTATGGGTGGAATTGGTGCTTGGCAATTATCATTTCCAACTGAGAATAATAACATTACTCCTACAACAATTACTTCAAATACTTCACTTCTATCAAATTCATTGAATTCTAATAATAATGACAACAGTACTCGTAACGATCATATCAATTTATCAAATCATCCACGTAGATATATATCCACAGTGGTAAGATCATCGACAAATAATCTTATTAATAATTCTTCAACAACTCGGCGATTTCGACGTTTACCTTGTCCACCACGCTTATCATTACCAATGAATTCATCGGTTAACTGTGCTGATTTATTGGTAAGTTGTTTGAAAATCATTAATATTTGAGTGAGTCTTTTTCTTACCTAACTCTTGAAGGTTCCACTATAATCAGAAAAGACAAAGCACTTGATTCACTGTTAGCTGATGTATGATTTGGTTAAAATTGTACGTGCAGAAATGCATCAGTGCATGAAGTCATACACTATTCATAGTGAATAATGGTGGTATATTTGGGAGATGTTATTAAGAAGTCACTTGAATTTCATGATTATAGTGCAAACAATTTCTTCAGAGTTAATAAATGATTGTCGGAGTCTTTGAATGATATTGTTCAGAATGAGTTAGAATGACGCAAATGTATTCGCTCGTTTGTTTTCCTTTAGATCTTAAGTTTTAATATTGTCTCACAGTTCTATTTATACTGAGAATTCCTTCATTCCTACAAACGCCCTCGTACGGTCGAGAGCAGGGGAAGTTCATTCTCCCTCTACAAATGCTCTTGCATAGTCATATGTATGCAACCACTGTCAGGGAAGTCCTACACCTGAACCTGGGTGTTGTTTACAAAATTCAGAGCACGAAAAGAGAACATCTGTTACTGTAACCGAGTAAGTAGTCACGGAAAATTCATCTTAGGGGAGTTGGAAAACCATAGTTCCAAACTGATGTTGCATATGGGCTCCAAGATATTGCGGGAATAAATGGCGTATAAACTTATCGTTAATCACTGGCTACCATGGGACTGCATCTCTTAACATTGTTTTACTGTTCTATGGATTACAGCTTTAGATCACTGACTGGTTGAAAACTAATTGTTTTAATTATCATTTAAACATCACTCTACTTGAAAATAACACACTAATGTTTTCAACCCTGTCACCCTAATAATTTACTTACTGTCAATCATGCTTCATTATAAGCTTCACACTACAGAATGAATTTTGAAGCATATGATAACGATTTCTCGACCATATCAGGGCATTTGGGTCTGTAATAATAAATACGTAGATCTTTTTGCCGAATTTCCAAACTTCATTTTATTATACATATGTATGTATTATTACTTTGTTTTACTTAGGTTAATCTATCATCACCGCATGCACATCTTGCATTGGCTGGAATTCGTGGTCAATCAAGTATTTCATTACATCGTATTCAAGATGGTAGTTTACATTCTTCTATCAAAAATTTTAATATTACTAACAATAATAATTTTAGTCGTGAACAATTTGGAACTCCCACTTGTTGCGCTTTTCATCCAAACGAGGTTTGTATTTGTGTTGATGTGATGCTTATTTCCTTATGTTTATTTATGATATATTTATTGTTATTATGTTTATGAAGTTAATGTACTTCAGGGTTTTGATTATGAAAACAAAGTGATCTCTAGTGGAGTGATTGATGCATATAACACTGTTCACTTCCCGGTTAGCCATATTGTGAAGTGATACTGTTCTATGAGGTATGAGGGTTAGAACTGGATTAGAAGTGATCTTAGCGACCTACTGTGCTACTGTGTAGTCGAGAGGACAACTGTCAGCTGCATGTCGCACATGGTTTTATTGCGAGTAGATCTTGATCTCTTATCTATCTACTTTTAATGTCTCAGTACTTGAATTAGAAATCTCTAGAGTAAGAAAAGTGTGCTGCTCTTAGCATCTAACTTGAGTGACCATAACTCTAAACTTTATCATCTCTGTATATGATACTTCTCTGAAGGAAATATCAGCGCTGTCACATCTCATTACAGTTAACAGTACGGCCTCACTCTTAAATCTCACTTTACTGATCTCACCATTTTCTAACCAACCTGCTTCTTATGCTAATATCTTAAGTAAAAAGTGTTCCACTCAATATAGCTTAATGCGCGATTTCACCTATTACATCAGAATTGCCGATTAGGATCGGAAGATTTTCTATGTAATTGATCTAAACTGATGTCAATAACTAGATACCTCCAGCGCTTATGACAGCCGATTTACCAAACACCCCTTCATAGAAGAACTATCCCTTCATACGGTTGTACACTTTCTCAATATAATTAGTTAAAATCAAAGAGATCTTTAACGTGTCTTTCAGAATTTCAACATTTAGTTCCTATCTTTCAGTTAATCTCTGAATCAAAACTAAAAGGTTGATGTTGTAGACATTCCTTATTGGAAAGCATCAGTTAAACATGCTCCTAATCTGGGTATTTTGAACCATTCTAGTATAGGAAACGATAACAGAGACAAGCACAACTAAATGTATTGAAACACAAAATTACAGAATCTTAGTAAAATCTGTAAACCATACAATAAACACTTCGTTTGAAAAATGTCAATGAATTGTTTCAGACTTGATTGTTACTTCCATTCTATATCAATCACTTTCTGTTGTCGTTCTCTTCTCTTCAATCTTCTTAACTTTCTGCCACCAGGTCTTTGACGTTCGACTGATGATATATACTACTACTATCTGTCGAGATCATCAGCACACACCACACTTGTGCATGTGATTGATTCTAGTTGTAGACTCCTTAAAAGTCAATATATAAGATATTTTCTCTATAGTCGTCGAGTCACTTCAATTTCACTCACTGACTCTTTCTACTAAACCATTTAATGAATTTCAAACCTATTCAGAAATGAGGTCAAAGGTCATTTATAAATTGGAGTCTTGCCAGAAATATCTATACATTCGTATTATGTCTTTGTGGTGATATTTAGATTTTATCAATTATATCACAAATGATAATTTCGGCATATATTAAAAGCTTTGATAACATTGGAAAGCTGTTTTGTGACTACTGAATGGTCGTCCCTATTCACCATTAAATGTTGATTTAATTATCTTAGAGCCTACTGAAGTGTCTTGTGTTAGGACAAAACATCTGTCTAGTACTCAACTAGTTCAATAGTTATGATCATGAGTCAATTGAAGCTGGATCACCATGAAGAACCTGGAACCACTGGATGGCCATTTCGTCCTATTGTTGGACTCCTCAGCAGTGCGCATCCACGACCCCGTCTCGTGGGATTCGAACCCAGGAACTATCAGTCTCACGCCAGGCGTGCTTAACTAACTAGACTATTGTTAGTTCATGTGTAATTTTAAATTCCAATAATGTTCATATTTCCATTATGTTCTGTTGTTGTTTTTATGTTTATTTGTTACATAACCAGCCATTAATTGCAGCCGGTTTCCACGATCAATCACTTGTTCTTTTAAATGTTCAAAATAAATCTATAAACAAAGAAGTATAAAACCAATTAAGGAATATTTTATCACACTCACATACACACACACATTTTGTACATGATTATTTCTCTCTTCATTCTTTGCTGACTATATCAATTATGTTTATTGTCTATCAGTATGTTTGTTTATCACATAATGAACAATAATAGATCATAGTTAAATTGGTTTTAATTCAACACAGAGATGAAGAGAACAAATACTTATCGGTGTTTCTTTACTTATCATTGTGAATATCCCTGTGATCATCATCATCGTCATCATCATCATTCTTATTATTTTTCGTTTCTCATCTATATGAACTGATTGGATGAATGAATACTCTTCATTGTTTGAGAATCCACACACACACACACACACACATACACATACACAGATAATAGCTTATTGTTTCAACATTGTCCATGATTATTTTAACTTGTAATTATTCTTTACAATGTTCTCTATGTTAGTACATTATGAACAAATAGCTTTTTTGTTAGGGGGTGGTGGTGGTTGTTGATGTTGTTGTTGTTGTGGTGGTGGTGGTGGTGGTGTTGATGTTGGGGTTAGGGTTTCCATTTATCTAATAGATTTATCTAATAATATATAAAACGATCATTATTTCACATTGTAATTTACAGTTTATTCATATATATAATTTTTCTTTATTCTGTAATAATTTAAGATACTATTACTATAGTTGTAAAGTTTTTTGTAGATAGATTTATAAAATTGAACTCACATATATGGAAATGCCTTGGAAAAATACTGTTTTACTATTATCATTTTTATTCATAAGTTAAAAGCAAAAATTATGATCAAATTATCTTGATGTATCATTTAAAGTAATGTCATGTTTCATAATATTCTATTCAATTGACTATAATCGTGATGTTAAAAGTGTATATATGTGTGTGTGTGTTTGTTTGATTGTATGTATCATATATGAACATGTATAAACATAAGTGTACTTTTTTTTTAGTTATACCCGGTCTTCCTGACGATATTTCCTCTATATATTTGAGGTTGTTTTATTATTCAACTATTGCGTTCATATACAATGAGAGTATATATATATATATATATATATATATATATATATATATATATATATATATATATATATATATATATATATATATATATATATTATTTATGTTAAACGGTTTTTGTTTACACATTAAGCCAACTTGGGAATTATTATTATTATTTTATTTTATTTTACACATAAGTATAGGTACAGGGAGGCACCAAATACATATGCGCCACACAAATCTCAATTGATTTGTGTGAGGGCTGTGATACTGCTCGGGTGCCCAAACCGAAGCAGATGGTTTTCTTAGGGGGCCACACCCCGAGCCTTTGACCTGAACGTCTGACCCACAAGGCAGTGGAGCATCGTGAGGAGATGCAGTCCCATGGTAGCCGGTGACCAACGATTGGTTCATACGCCATTTGTTCCCGCAGGATACTGGAGCCCATGTGCACCATTGATTTGGGGTCCGGTTAAAGCGCCGGAAATTCGCTTTTCGTCCTCTCATTTTCGTAAACAACACCCCCGCCACGAGAAGGCAGTGAGTAGGACTTCCCTGGCAGAGGCTATATACGCATGGCCATGTGAGAGCATTTCGAGAGGGAGAGCGGACTCTCCCCACTCTCGGCCGTACTAGGGCATTTGGGGGCCAACTTGGGAATGTTTTATGTGAACATGACATTTCTAACTTGATAATATTGTTTTGTTTAACTGGGTTTAGGAAAGTGTATATGAATTGACGTGCGATTTTCAAGAGTCGATATTGATGTTGTTTCTGACCAGATAGGTGTTATATCTAGAGCTTAGATTTTTAATAAACCGCATATGTTTAAAAACACTGCAGGGTACTTCTTAACCAATATTTAATTTCCTAACAGATGTAATGTGTGCCATTCGTGTTGTTGAATGAACTATGTGTCTCAATATATCAGATGCTGTATAAAGTTTCACTCGAGTAAACTTTCTATTAATATCAAAGCTTACATATTTTCTTAGGCGGTAAATTTATGAGCAGTTATTTCAAACAAACATTTTGTTAACAAATGCTCCAGATCTGTATATCTTAACTTAACTCTTCTGGTAACGGCAAACGGTACTCATGGGCTTCAAGTTCTTCCTTTAAACCAGTGTAATAATTTACGCATAGCAGGATACTTCCATTAGGCATTCTAGCAATCACTATTGATGCTGCTCAGAGAAAATCACCGGTTCTACGATTGCACTTTATTTCAAGCGTTCTAATTCTTGTGCAACAATAGGTAGCGCTGCAAAAGGTACAGGTGTTTATTTTCGAAAAACGAGAGTAGCCCCATGTTTGAGAGTTAACAAGACTTTGGCCTTCGTACATTCTCCCAATCCTTCTTCAAACACGTTGTGGTGTCTTTGTAGTACGGCATTTTTCTGGTTCCACTCTAAGGGGTTGTTTCAAGTTTACCAATCTCTGGCACTCGGTGGTTACTTCTTGTAGTGTTATATTCGGGCGTTGTCCAATTTCACTCAAAATTCTGGTTCTATTATCAGCATCTTCAGAGATTAGAGGCTGCACACAGACACGAGACACTTAAGCTGATCTTCTGTCATTGTTGATAGTTTGAACTGGTCACAATCATGGTTTACTTAACCCGTATGCTTCACCCAGTCATTATCACGTGCTTTTATTATCTTGAGACACTGATAACGAATATTAAACAAGGATGACTGTTGAGCAGAGATTTGTGACAAATGTCAATCGTCGCATCGAACGAAAATTCTCTTTTATTATTTGGAAAGATGAAGTTACTGTACCGTTCATGTTCAACCGTACCAAGTTTTCTTAAAAGCATTCTGACCACGACGGTGTCACCAAGTTTTCCGAGGTCAACCTTGAACAACTTTTCGTATTTCTTGAACCAGGTTTCAAAAGTAATGCCAGCCGAACCATCGAAATTAAACTCATGAATAGAACTAACAATGTGGCCGACATGAGATTTGAGATCATCTGTAAGCCACTTTCGATTTAGGTTCATCTGCTGGATTAGAGTCTCTAGAATACGAATCTGGAACTGTTCAAAGCGTTTTTTTTAATGCTTCAGCCAGGTTTTAAATTGGTCAAAGATAAAAGACATCTTGATAAGTTAACTCCGTCGCCAGTTGTTATATCCAGGGATTAGATCAATAATATGGCGCGTAAAACTTGAGCACTTTAATGCTAAAATCCTCCGAAGTCGCGAATGAGAAGACAAGTGATAGTAATTTTATTTCAAACAGTATGAATTATGGTACAAAATTGTTGGGTATTTATAGTTTTTAGTAAAAACGAAACCATCATTATAGTTATTCAATCCATACACAGGGAGTTACTAGTATTTTTTCAATAGGGTAGCCACAATAATATGTTCTTTAATGTCCTTTTAGATGTTCTTTTACTTTTTTTTGTCTTCTTCGCGTTCAGCCGTTTTCCGTTTGTGAATAATATGGCTAACCCACAAATAAACAGTGTTCATTACTGTATCATGTATTGTTTTTTTGGCAAGTTTGATCGCAAGTGCTTTTGGCGCAGCATGAGGATTCTTGAGGTGTTGTCCACTCTCGATTGGACCATAATTTGTGAAACATCATTGAATGATCCTTAAGTGACCATGTAATCCTTCATTTGATTGTTGTGTTTAAAAGAGCCGTATATTGATTTAGAACTATGGCTTAGGTTGGGCAATTAGAATTTAGTTTTTCACAATTAGCTGAAATCGTGTATAATGCCCAAATGCTATTTAACTTTATGAAAAAACGAGTTTCTCACCGAAATCCCAGACATCCTTAACTTTCTTGGTTCGTCCATAAAATGTGACTGACATTTTCTCTACATTTCAATTTGAAATCAACTCAGGCTAACAACCAGTAGAAAAAACTACAATGAATTGAAGGTCATAGATCAGTTAAGCTTATAAAAGGACCAAACCAAATATTAAACCAATAGCCACGCATTTATGGACAATAACCGATAAGAATGTCGTCAACTGAACAAGTTGTAAAGAAAGTGTTGTGGATCAGTCAATTAGTGTTGATTATGTTATCTGGATAGACAGTGAAGTGTTCACGGTCGTCCTAATGAAAGAATACGGTAGTTCTGCAAATACATATACTTAGTAAATGAGAGAGTTTGACGTTATTTTTGTCGTGTTTAAAATGCGAACACTAAAAGTGAAGGGTAACATCATATGGAATCGTATAGCTTGCATTGTGATAAGAAGGCGATGAGGATAACAGTATTGAAACGTGAAATGTTTGGTGTAATAGACTACAGATTGAGTTATGTTTTGCGAGTTGACCATGCGTATTTTACAGACTTCAAATATGTCGTCTAAAATCAGACAAAACTATAAACTAACCGATCACTACATTATGGTCGATATCATTTAAGCCTACCCCATAATGATTATTGATTTTCATCGATCAAGTTGCAATCTGTTGATAAGATATGACATCCACACGCTGAATACTTCATTTAAAATATTACATAATTTGTCCTTCACATTCTGTAGGATTTTTATAACCCACAAGTCCCTTCCTTCTCCGTTCATTTGAATGCAATATCGAAGTGTGTTTTGTTTACAGCTTGTACAAGTAATAGTGTGGAATGCATTAAACGTGAAATTCCTTCACTATGAATTGCATTTAATTGCAAAATCCACTCTGAACACTAAATGTTGAAACGGATTTGAACCCAACATCTCTATGCTTTACAGACGAATAAATCGGATTCATGATAATAGCTGTTGGATTGTTTGAGTGAAATTCACTTATCCATAAGGCTACAATGCAACACTGCATCATAACTGACATCGGTTTATCACGAAAACCCAAATCCTATATCCTCAATTCTGACACTGATAGCACAATTCTAACCAATAACTATCAGTTGACTCTATAGAAACCTTATCGGTATTGATGTGGATTCCATTTATTGTCAGTGATTTTATTCGTGACAGCAGTTAATTCTTTTCTTCATACTTAAGG